AGGCAGACTCTCAACCACTGCACCACCAGGGAAGCCCGATATCATTCCTTCTTTAAGAATTATATCAATATTATGACTCTTCCCCCCTTTATCTTCTTATTCATGTCCAAAAGTGTCTTTGGTTTGGGGATGCAGAACACTGTATGTCCCACTCACTGGTAAGTCTGAGCAAAAACCAACCTATATTTAGTCCTGTACTCGAAATGCCCTGAGGATTGGGAATTATTTTAGAAGTCACATCAGCACTGTCCCAAGGCCAAGAGCTATTTGGGTACGTTGCTGGAGTAACCCAGTACCACCTTCTGGCTTTTTGTTGGGCTTGCAAGATGAAGAAGTTGGGATAGTTGGGAAATTAGGAATTTGGGGGGGGGGTGAATAAACCAGTTATAAACAAGAAATAAAGAACTTAAGTCTTGATATAGCCACTCCCAAATGGACTTTTCTTGGCTTTCTTCCTCTTATAGGTAGCTCTGTACGATTTGATAATTTGATCAGCTCCTGCTACTCGAAACTCTTGTCCTTGATTTTTATGAGATTGCACCCCTTGGTATCCTAACTATGTTCTGACAGCTCCATTTTGGTTTGTTTCTCTGGCTCCTCTTCTCTTCCTTGCTTCCCATTATTGTTTTCCTACGTTTCTGGCCTTCTTTCTTAGCACTTTCTTCCAGGGCAAACTTCCTTGGTTTCTACAATTTCTTCTGGGCCATTGACTCCCAAACCTGTATAACTATCTCCCTTGATCTCTCTTGAACTTCAAATCTACCTGCATGTCCTGCTGGCCCCCAACATTCAGCATATCAAAGAGAAAACTTATCATCTCTTCTCCCCTTCCAAAACCAACATTTCCTCATAACTTACCCTCATGCCTTAATGATCACACTTAGGATTGCACTCCCTCTGCCAAATCAACTTTGGCCTCCTCCTTTTACTCAAAGGAGATCTAAATACCTTCAAACAGGTCTCCAATCCATCTTTCTAGCTGCCGTTCAATCCCACTCTTCCCAGCCCTTTCCAACTCCACTACATATTTACCATCAAATTTCCCATAGCCTTCACCTTTGACACTTTACTCTGCCTCACATGCCTTTCTTGTTCCCTACTCTGTAACAATCCTACCCATTCTTTTTTTTTTTATCATCTTTATTGGGGTATAACTGCTTTACAATGGTATGTTAGTTTCTGCTTTATAGCAAAGTGAATCAGTTATACATATATATATGTTCCCATATCTCTTCTTTAAGGCCTATTTCAGTGCCCCATAAAACTGTTTTAGAGTCCAATAGCCACACATGATCCTTCCTCTGAAGTCTTGTACTAGGCCAGAGTATACCAGGCACTGTATGAGGCACTATACATCCAGAACTCAGTTCACCTTCTCTACAATTCTGCCTGTGAGGCAGGTATTAATATCCCCATTTTGCACATGAAGAAACTGAAACCAAGGGTTGTATAGCTTGAAAGTCTCATCCATGGCTTTTGTGATATTGTACTCCTTACATGCTGACAGTTCCATTTTGGTTTATTTATGTGGCTCCTCTTGTACTCTTCACCTCCCATTGTCACTGTTACTTTCTAAAGTAGCAAAGCCCAGAATGGAAGCTAGATTTGCTTGCCCTTAACCACCTTTGCATACTGCTTGAAGGGCATTCACTGTTGGTACCCAAAGGGCCCTTGATCTTCAGGTAAGGACTGTGGCTGAATCACAGTAAGCAGATCCCTGCACACAGTGGGAATGCACTCAATGAGTGTTGGGTGGAAAATGGATGAGCAAAGTCATATTTATGAAAAATTGTAGCAAGTTAAAAGTCAATCCTGTATACAAAGGGGAGATTTAAAACCAATTTCCAGCAGCCCAAACTTAAAACATCTCAGAAGATAGGGAAGAACATTCCCTTATTCCTGCTTGCATTTGTGACTAGAGAACACAGGAGCCCTATACAGCTACGAGCCACTTCTGGATTGCCCTTCTCTCATTATCTGCACACACATCTGTCAACTCTTGGTTCAGTGTCTTACAGCTTGTGAATCAGGTGGGGGTGTAGAATTATCCTCACTTAACAGATGAAGAAAGTGAGACTCAGAGGCAGCATAGTTTATAAGAGCAGAGGCTCTATAAGAGCCAGACTGTGCCTGCATTTGAATTATGACTTAAGTACTTATTGGCTGTTTGAATTTGGGCAAATTATTTAATCTCTCAGAGCTTCAGTTCCCTCGTCTGTAGGATAGGGATAATAATAGTGTTTCCTCAAAGGGTTGCTGTGAGGATTAAATGAGTTGATGTGTGTAAAGTGCTTAGAATAGTGCCTTACATATATTTAGTGCTCTATATTAGCTAATATTATCATCTTTATCATCCCTTCTTTAGCGAGGTCTTAAATCCAAGTGTTCTTTTTCCACCTTCTCTATCTATGGTGTTATGTTGGGGAAAAAATGGTTCACTAGGCTGGCCATCTTGTGACCTTAGGCAAGTCACTCCTGCTATATTATACCTGATCTATAAAATGAGGGATTAAGGGTGATGATCTTTGAAGTGCTGCCTAGTTCTGTCGTTGATTCCAAGTAGGCAGTGACAACAGGCTTGCCAGTTGGTTTGTGGCCACTGGGTCCTATCCAGGGATTGGCCTTGTCCAGGGCATAGCTGGACTTTGTGACCTGAGTGCCCAGGCATGTCAACTGGACTAAATGGGGACAAGAATGAGCCAAGTGCTGCTGGGAGAATCCAAGCATGGAGTCTCTCAAAAGAAGACTGCACTGTAGAAAAAATACAGGCAGTGGAATCAGCCAGAACTGGGACTAGGGTAATTCAAACAGCATCACAGATAGAGTCCTGAGCAGAGCATTGGTAAGTGATGCCAAGATCACTCTTTGACCCTTGATAAAAAGTCAATGATATATCTTTAGACTATAAGCCCTCATGGTGCTCTGAGTTGGGCCTGTATGTGCTTGTCGAGCTCTAGCAGCACCCTGTTGGTACCCATCTTTGGCAGGACAGGGGAGACTTCTCTGTAAATACTTATTTTATTGAGGTCAGTGACCAGCAATTCTTCTTCTCCACTGAGGCCAGAACAAGAAGATATTGACTTTTAGTGTAATTGGAAGAAAGCAAATTCAACATATAAATAAATCTCCTCTTAGTCAGGGGCACCAGTAACTGAAGGTGGCTGTCCAAGTCTCTTTCTTTGGGGTTGAAGAATGGAGCCATCTTGTTTATGATATTATGAATGGAGTTCTGTGAGTTCATTTTAGCTTATTAGTAAACATTGGTAGTATGGCATGATAGGTATTAGTGCATATACAGTCAGAAGACTGAGCTCCATAATTTATTACATGTGTGATTGGCCAAAGGACCAGGCCACCACTCTGAGCCTCAGTTTCCTTATCTTTAAAATATGGGTAATAGATCCAGCTCATTCAGTAAGGATCAAGTGATGCAGTAGATGTGAAAACACTTTGTGAACAGTAAAGCATGAGGTACTTTAAATGTGTTATTACAAAAGGTCTTATTTGAAATCTCTTTTACATCCAAGCTGAGGAGCTCCCTCTATGCCTTCTATAGAAGGCACAATGGCTAGACCCCTGAGCAATGAAGGATGCCTCATGCAGAAGCTAACCAACAGAATGCCCTAACTAAGTCAAAAGATCAGTGTGTGTGTTTTCTCCTGTGTGTGATGTGTTATGCATTAATATCATGACCATAGGGGTATTCTCTGGCTGGTATGTTGGAAGGCAGACCTGTGTGAGAGGATGCATGTTCCATATTCTGTCTCTGTTATCTTTAAATTGTTTTGACTTCAGTCTTGTGGAGCCATAATTGCCTTGGGGTCCTTCCTCAAAGTAGGCTAATGGAAAAGATGACTTCTAGAGGACATGTTCAGCAATTCAGTTCTGGGGAGGGAATGTTTGAGTCCTTTGCCTGACAGGACATATGTTCTCTATTCTGGAAATTGTTCCTCCAAATGCCAGAAAGATTGATGACCCATACAGGCTGGAACCAGTTAGGGGAAAAAGAAGAATACATAACACAGTGGTCAGGATGGTAGCCAGAGAGAAACTAACTATTCCCCAACACCCATCCTCATCACTGTGCATAGACAAGTGTCATGAACATATGTGTGTGTATGTTTATGTGGCAGTGGCATAGATGTCTGCCTGGCGCTATGTGGAGCCAAGTCCTGCTGGCCACAAATTCTAAGGACCAAGGTTAGGTTCTGTGCATAGCCCCTGCCTTGCTGACTGAAACTGAGCTTACCCCTTAACTTGCTTATGGTTCAGTTTTGCCATCTATCAGATGTAGAAGTCAACCTAGATTCCCTGTGTATCTTACAGGGTGGTTGTTTAAATCACTGAGTGAATCTGTGACAATGTCGAGTTTCTTGGGAGCAAGGCATCACAGAACGCCATATTCTTTCATACCTATGAACACATGACCTCTCTGGATAGCATCATGTGTGGGTGAGAACAGGAGGCTGCAGGACTGGGGTCCATTATATGTGAGGAATGCTGTGGTCTGTAACTCCTGAGGGTGGGGTACAGTAGGATTAAATAATGTATCACCAACTCTCAATTGGACAGTTCCAAAGAAGAAGAAGAAAGGGGGAGGAGCACAGAGAATTTATAGCAAATATGCTCGAGCCTCATTTTAGCCATTGGTTTCAGACTCTCTGCCCATTCCAGCTCCAGGGCTGCCTCGAAGTACCAAGGAGAATGGATTGGAGCTTTTTCTTCTCTAGGGAAGGAGATCTTGAGTAGGGATAAAATCATGAGGTCTGTGTAGTCCATATACACATTCTGGGTCATTCTACCCACTGGCTAATGGAGAGTTGATAGTATTATTTGTCTTGTAGTCCAGTGGAGCTTGCTCTCCCAATGTCATCTCCATCACCCTACCCTTCATCACTAATATGTGAGTTTTTCCATAAGTAGTAGAGATTTGGGGAAGGGGGCAAGTAAGGTAGCTAGACGTGTGGACTGAACACATTCTTATTTTGTCTCCTAAGCTGATCACTGGAGATTCCATCGTTAGTGCTGAGGCAGTATGGGATCACGTCACCATGGCCAACCGGGAGTTGGCATTTAAGGCTGGCGACGTCATCAAAGTCTTGGATGCTTCCAACAAGGATTGGTGGTGGGGCCAGATCGACGATGAGGAGGGATGGTTTCCTGCCAGCTTTGTGAGGGTGAGTGTCAGCCTTCACTCTCCTCTCCTGTCTCCTTGGCTACTTGCCCCTGGCCTCCCCTTCACCAGCCCTTGTTCTCCTCCTTCCCCTTCTTGTGACTCCTCACATTTTTCCCCATGTGTTTGGTCACCTACCCAGGGCCCGGGCTTCCTTTAATCTTTGCCCTTCTAGTTTTGAGACTTTTTTATCTTGTTTATTTTAACAATCCCCACCTCCTGCCTCCCACCTTCTACCCACTGTGACTTTGCACAAATCACTTCCCTTTTTGCCTTGATGGTTTTGAAGATGCTTTTAACTCTATATTGCTGTGAAATTTTACCTTTCTTCTCTCTCTTTTCTGTTTTCTTTCTTTTCCTTGCCTCCTCTTTTTTTATCCTTTCTTTTTATAGATCTCTTCCCACCCTCTTTCTCCCCTCCCCACTCCTCTCTGCTTCCTTTGCCTCCTTTCTCTCATTTAGGGAAGTGTGAACACCCCTGCGTGTTGTCTTATGATTGTCTACAGCTGTGAATGTAAGCGTCTGGGCTCTCTACCCTCCCAGGGGTTGGAGTTTACTCATTGCAAATCTTACTTTTTGCAAGGTGGCTGGGAACTAAGATGTGTCCAGGGTGGGAAGCAGGCAGCTTGATAGTGCTGGCAAGGCCTTGGCCCCTTTGACATTGTACCATGAAAAACCTGGCCGTTAAAAGAAGGGGCTCTTGGGAAGGGGCTCCTTAGCAGTTTCCACTTCCTCTGGGTCACCCATTAGCAGGATGCTAATGGGGAAAGAACATTGGCCTGGTGTTCCAGCTCTTGGCCATCCTTGGAGTTATGAGCTAGAATCAGTTGTTTGGCAATTGTGAGCTCTGATTTTCCCCATATGCAAAATGGTGTTGGCAATTCTTTCATGACAGGGGATATCACAGTGAATTAAATAATGTACATTAAAACAGATTTGTGGCAATACAAGTACCAAAGCCACATCAGGATGTCTTATGACCATCCTTACCACAGCCTATCATCTTTTGTTAGTTTCTTTTGTAATATAAGACTGAAGTCCTGACCCCAAACAAAAGATCAGAGTGGCTTGGGCCCTTGGGCCCTTGGAGAAGGGTCTCAGGATAAGAAGGATAGAAGTGTGACATGAAGGAAGGAGCAGGGCATTTGGAATCAGATAATCTGAGATGCAGATGCAGTTTCAGCTTTACTACCTCCTAGCTCTGTGGCTTTTGGCAAGACTTTTATCTTTCCTGAGCCTTATTTCCTCATCTGAAAAATAGGAATAGGAGACTTTTTATGAGGATTAAATGAGATCACTATGTGAGTAAAGAATCCGACACAGTGCTTGGCACATAGTGGGTACTTAGCAAATGGTAACTTGCTTTATCATTATCATTATCCTCATCATCACCACCACCACCTCCACCTTATTAACTCCAATAAGGTCTATGTATGAAGGCTGGTCATAGTGGTTGAAAGAGACCTCCTTCCTTGGAGGGCTGCAAATGTAGGAAGCACTGTTATCCAGTTAGAGCAATTTAGGTGAGGGCACTGCTCAGAAGCAAGGAAGTAGACAAAATAGCCTCTCATCCCCTCTATCCTGAGAATTTCTTAATGAAATATCCAGTCCTTTCTCCTCTACCTATATGGAGTCTTCCATCAGAGTTTCCACATGCTGTGTGTCCAAGCTCAGCTTTGTTGGTTGATGAACTGGTCCCAGGGGTAGTTAGAAAGAACACATCAATAACCATGGGCCTTTGGAACTAACAAGAAGCCCCGTACACAGACAGCTTGTGTGTCTTAGGCTGACGGCCCTCCCTTTAAAAGAAGGATTAAACTGCACCCAGTGACAAAATCACCCACATCTGCATGTATTTCACCTATAGTGAAATGTCATTTTTATAATAAACTGTAATTCAAGGGGTGGGACAAAATATTGAGCAAGGCAGAATGACCCCAGGAGGTGAATGACAGAATCAAGCTTCAGAATATCAATGAACTGGCATTGATTTTCCTACATCCAAGTCCAGGAGGAGTGTTTTTCCAAGCACACAGCCCAAGCAGCCTGTTGGATGGGCTGAAGCTGACATTTGAGAAGACCACTGGCTGGGCCAGGCATGCATAGTATAGAGTCTAGCCTAGTGGTTCTCAATCCTGGCTTCACAATGAAATAATTCACTTGGAATCTTAAAAAAAAAACAAAAAACAACAAACACTAAAACCCAGGCTCTAGGCTAGTTAAATCACAGTCTTTGATGTTGAGAACGATTTGGCCTAGGCCAGTACAGTCCAATAGAAATATAATGTGAGGGACTTCCCTGGTGGTCCAGTGGTTAAGACTCTGTGCTACCAATTCAGGGGCCTGGGTTCGATCTCTGGTCATGGAATTAGATCCCACTTGCTGCAGCTAAGAGCCCTCATGCTGCAACTAAAGATCCCACATGCCACAATGAAGATCCTGCATGCCGCAACTAAGATCCACACAGCCAAATAAAATAAATAAATAAATAAATATTTTTTAAAAAAGAAATATAATGTGAGCTACAAATGCAAATCTCAAATATAATTTAAAAATTTCTAGTAGCCACACTAAAAAAAGTTAAAAAGATACAGTGAAATTAATTTAATGTATTTTACTTAACCTAATATATCTAAAATATTATGATAAAATATAATATATTATCACTATAAATTTTTTAATAATATATTTTACTAAGTCTTTGAAATCTGATGTGTTTCTATACACATCTCAATTCATACTGGTCACATTTCAAGTGTTCATTAGCCATATGTGGCTAGTTGCTCTATCAGATAACACATATCGAGACTGAGGACTGTGACAGTAGACCAGGAGCATTAATGACAGAGCCTAAATCATAAATTAGAGCTCCAATATTCTATTATACCAGCTCCAATATTCTATTCTATTCTATTCTATTTTACCAGTGTTTATTCTTTGAGGAACTAAGATAGCATTCCATGTTGCCTCAGATTGTATTCAGAACGAGCATTTGATCATTGCAAACCTTTTTTTTTTTTTTAAGTAATAGTTGAATGGTCTTCAGATCTCTAAAGGAGAGTACCATGCAACCTTAGTGGCCAGCTGTTGTGGTGTCACCAGTAAAAAGAAATGGGGTTAAACTGTTGCATGAATGATGTGAAAATTGACTCCAAGTTAGACCTTTCAATTCTCATGAATGAGCATTTATGTGTAGGTTTACATTTCTGGTAAGATTGTGTGTTCCTCAAGGAACTGAATGATGGAAGTTATGTAGGCTTTTCTAGTAGATATTTAAAAGTAGAATTGCTATTTCCATTCTTCTACACTGATTTTGGTTGAGGATAGAATGGTATTGTGCAGGCAGTGCTAGATATATTAGAAAATGAGAGACCTGAGTTCTAATTTGGCTCTCTAAAACATTTGACATATGATAATTTGCTTTTAGTTTCTCCTTCACCTCTGAAGCATTCTCTAGAATCTATTCAAGCTCTGACAATGTCTAGGTAAGACATAGCGATGAGTCACACTGAACTGTTGAATCTTCATTAGTACTGATGTTATTGGTAGGTAGATAGGTGGTTTCCTGAGAGGCTGTACCTATATGTTGTATAGTTCCCTTGTTTATCCAGACTCATCCTGAGCTAAGATTCAGTAGCTCCTTGAGAATATCATCCTTAGGTTATTTGACATATAACATGAAAGTATAATGGCAAAGAAAAGACTTTCCTCCTAACTCTATACCAACCGGACACCTTTGTGGATCACTGGACCAAATTGGTCGCTGACATAGTGGAGCATCTCCATTTCCTATCTGGAAGACTCATTGCTGTGTGAACATCCCAGCCCTAGGATGGATAATCCAGGGTGCTTAATGCTGTTCTATCCAAGCTAGCCATACCTGTTGTTAATCAGGTTTAAAACCAATGTGGAATCTGAGAAACCCAGATTCTTGCCTCAGTCTGCTGAGTATGCAGCTTGAGCAGCTTCCTGTACATCTTTGAAGCCCAGTTTTCCTCCTTGTAAAATGGGGATAATTAAGTCTTTTAAAAATCCTTTGTAACCTGAGGTATGCTGGATACCTGTAAATAGGAAGTGTGATACCACTTTGGTTACTGTACAAGAAATTGCTGGGTTTATGTATCTTCTATTCAGTCAAATATCTGCCTCTCCTGTTGTTCAGAATTTCATTCTGTATGTATATACATGTATTGTGTGTGTTCTGAAAGTCTCTTTCTTCTGTACTGGGAATATGACTTCACAGGAGCAATACAGGAGTTGATTTACCTTCCCAGCAAATGGTCAGGTTAAGTGAATTACAGCTTGCTGAATATTAGTCCTCACATCTAACTGTTGACATCTTCAGCTGCTTTCCTGGGCCAGTTTCCCCTTTGGGAGCTGAGAGCAGACTGCTGGGATATGATTGTGTCTCTAAGTAGAAAATCCCATCCCTGTGGTGGCCCTCCTTTCGCATGCTGGCCCTAACTCCAAATCATTCAGGTCCATTTCTTTTTTTTTTTGCGGTATGCGGGCCTCTCACTGTTGTGGCCTCTCCCGCTGTGGAGCACAGGCTCCGGACAAGCAGGCTCAGTGGCCATGGCTCACGGGCCCAGCCACTCCGCTGCATGTAGGATCTTCCCAGACTGGGGCACGAACCTGTGTCCCCTGCATCGGCAGGCGGACTCTCAACCACTGCACCACCAGGGAAGCCCCAGGTCCATTTCTTTTATCACCATGTAAAAATTGGCCTTTGCTCTGACTTTGGGCCATGGCCTGGGGACAGCTTACTACCCACTTGAGGGCAGGCTCTGTACAGAATACATGACAACCTGCTATTGTCAGTGGTAGGTGAGGCCTGAGGGACAAGATATGGGTTTGTTCAGAAAATAAAGAGCCTACTCAGATGCCATCAGAACATATTGTCCTTGTTTCTTCAAATTCTAGATTTCCCTGGTTTCTGGACTACATGGATGCAGGAGATGAAAGGATGAGCTAATCAGGTCATTACCATCATTCCTTACAGTT